GTAACTGTCGATGTATAAAGAAAAAAAATCGAAAAACATCATCTGTCCTGTTACTTTTGGGCCACCCCTGTCTATCAAGTTCGTTGAGATAAAGCATGTATGTTTCATGGTTGTCTATCGAGCAACATTGAGCATAGATTCAAATAGGGTCTCTGCATAAAATCCACAAGAGAGAATTTTCAACTTTCGTTTTTTATTTATACCACACTGATAGCCAGAAGAATTCCGAAAACAAAGTGAAGTTTGCATTGATCAAATAATTTTTCTAGCACTTTCGTACTGAAGACGAAAAATTTTCAAAACCCATGTTAGTTAACTCCTTAGGGACGGGTGACGTATATATACGTCCGACTTCAAATCAACTCATTATTGATTTGCGTATATCTCTTACGATGTTTTTATGATCTGCGCTAGCACATAGACCGTTAATCTGTTATACTACCATTCGTACTGTGACCTCATACTTTTAGACGTTTTTTTGTTATCGATATGAATAAATATATCCCTTCAGAATTTCAAAAGTTTCCTTGGCTTTCTTGAAAGTAACCCCGTCCTCAAGGGGTTAATTTGCTTTTTGTTTTATATCGAAAATTTGTGTTGTTTTAAAAATTATATCAAGATACTGGGAAAAATTGAAAAAGAAACACTTCATGATAATATTGTTGCAGGTTTTCATTCATGATAAAAGTTACAGACTTAAAATATTGTAGTTATTTAGTATTAAGTAGCTAGACTAACCACACAAAGTTTCAAAGAATTTGCTTTTGTTGAATGCGAGAACGATGCATTTTTTAATTGCTTCGAAACTTCTGGGACATCCGTTCTACTGCAGATTATCCTGAACTAATAATGAAAATGTATTCAAGCATAGTAACAATGACTCTTAATAAGTTTGGAAATTCGTTTCATCATGATTTGTTCACCATAATCTCATTTCAAATCTAACTTGAAAGTTCGATCTAAATCTAGTTTCCAAATTCTTTTTTTTTCTTTATTTAGCCTGTCACAATGCACATAAAGTAAGTACCATTGATGACAAATAAGATAAGGACGACAATCAGAAAAAAATTACTTTTTCATGTATTTATGTCGCATTTAGTTGATCTAGTTTTGAAAAGCGTCCAATCGACCTTATCTGTGATTTTAGAATTGTATGAACAAAATACAGCTCCTATTTCAAAGAAACTTCTTTGGGAAGCGAAGTGTCATCGAAGAATAACACTACATTGTTGTGCAAAATACTTTATCTTTTTCTATTTCGCATTTATCCTTGAATAGTATATATATATGTACTATTTTTCAAAAACAAAGCATTTGAATTAAATAGAATTTATTTAACTCCAAAGAAAAATTAGAACAATATTTATTTTTTGAGATAAGATAATTTGTTGTCTACTGTATTTATTCATTGTTCAATGCGAAACTTGGTTGTAGAAAATGTGCACTCAAAGTTGTTACAGAATGAAAAATGAGCATCATTTAATTAATGTCGGAGTAAGACCGAAAAAATAATGCATTGATGTTTGGCGTCAGTACTCATTATTTGGCATAACAAACCATAAATCTGCTCATTTCATCAGCATAGTGGCATGCAATGACCATGAACAAAAAAGAATTGTTAATGATTTGTTTAAGATCACAGGAACCGTTCATATTGTATCAAGACATTTTATATGGAATCAAAATGAATGAAATATTATTATCAATGCTGTGTATTTTTCTATTGAGGTTTTATCATTTGCATTGTTTTTTAAGGTTAATGATATTATCTTAATTAGTAGTACTTAAAACATCAAATTTCAATCCTATTATTTTTCTAGCTTCAATGCCTATCACTATATGAAAGAATGAAATCAAGCAGTCTTTTACTTGATAGTGAATGTCTAGTCTATGAGATAACTCAACTTATTTCATGAACAACACACTACATGTTGAATGAAAGCTCTCTAGATTTTCAAAATTGAAATCAATACAAAAAATGTAACGATGAATCTACACTTTCGATGAAAAAATGATCATAGACGAAATACAATTTTGATATTTGTCCAAGGTGATATAATTTTGGTTCTTGTATATTTTTACTGAAAAAAAAAAACAATAAAAACTTTTTGAAAGAAAGTGCGACCCCTTCTTTGCTTCATCCCTCCCCTTAAATTTTCCACTGGAAAAATCTCAAGTAAAAAAAGAGAAACTTTTTTAGTCCAGTCAATCAAAAATATGTAAAACGGTATCAAAGAGCTATAAGCATGATATAGAAGAAAACCAATAACGTAAGATGAAGGATACAACTAAACTAGTGCTGTAATTGAATCATTTCTTAATAACTGCCACTTAATCAATGTACAATAATGTTTGAAAAACAAACACTCTTTCGTATTTTTTGCCAAACATTGATATCCCTTGACTAATTTTGTGTGAATCATCACTAAATATAACAGTTTGTATTTGCTTGCAACTTTTCTGACCATCCTATTTCTCCATTCATGAATTTCTTTGCCTCTAGAATATCGTCCATGTATTCGTTTAATACGTTGAGTTGCTTGAAAGCGTTACCAAACACAGGTATAAATATAACTATCGTATTATAACGTCCTCTTGACACGTTTATGCACTAATATTTTTAATTGAGTCTATAAAATGTGGCATTAATATCAGTACCCCAATATTTCAAAGTCTTGGAGAGTACTAACGAAAGGTTCTTATTTTTTTCTAAATATCATTCAATTGATATTTCGCTTGCTAAAACGTTGTACATGTTATGGCTGAAACCATCTTAAGGTCATGTGAATAGATACATAAGTATTTTTACGAGAACAATAACAAAATGTGCTCGTTCTACAATGATAACATTTCTTTATTATCAAGAGACAAGATATTAAAACATATAAATGTGTTTATGAGTATTAAATCAAATTTTGATTACAGAATTTGATAAACAAAAACTTGAGAAAAACATATTCAAGTACTTCGCGAAAACACAGACATAATAAATACTGTAATAATTACCATTATTCTTTTTCGATGAATGTGTTTTTCTTGAAAAGCATATACAATTATCAAAAGATATGGTCAAGAAAAGATAACTTTGATATCATCAATTCTACTTCTTCATTTTATTTTTTTCATTTATAAAAAATATGAAAAATATATGATTGAGCTAGGAATAGATTTACTGTTGTCATATATTTATTTTAGAATTACTGTAATGATAAGCATAACTTCTATCATTTTGAATGAGATCTTTTCTTTTTTCAATATTTTTGAATTCTGAATAATTCGATGTTAAGAATTTTATTTGATTGTCTATTCTAGATCAATCAATACTTATCTCAAATTCAATGGCTTCTTCTAATTCTTCTGGCACTACTGAAGGAAGTAATCAATTGAAAAATGAACATATTAATAAAACAGTAAAGAAAGATGTTGATAAAGTCGTTGATAAATACGACATTCAAGATATTGCTAGCCAATGTAATGCATCACAAAATAAGACTGTATCTTATTGTCGATGTTGGAAATCAAAAAAAGTATGTTCATGCAACAAAAAAAAGATTATTATTCACTTTTTCAATGCAAAAATATTCGATAAAGTTTACCATTCATTTTCATAGAAGTACTTGAAGATATGAAAGACAGTAGTATGTTTCTCTATTTAAATAAGTTTTCAACAGTCTTGCAATCACAGGCATCTGTTTATTAGTTTTGTTTACAATTAGAAATTCATTATATTGGCATACTTATTTTGTTTTGTACTTGTTTTTCTTTTTTTTAGTTTCCATTATGCGATGGCTCACACAATACTTGGAACAAAGAAACAGGTGACAATATAGGTCCACTTGTTATTACCAATAATAATGAATCAAATAAATAATCAATTTATCGTGAAAAAAAAAACATTGTTCTTGCTACTAACTGCTGTAGTAAATGATTTATGGTGCTGGCTATATCTTTCTTAGTAATGAATCATTCGTATATTTGTTCTAGTATTTCTTGTATAACTCTAAATAATTATTCCACTAGTTTTTTGTATCAAACTCTATATGATTTTCACTCGTTATTCATAGATTTTCTTTCGATGTAATCCTTTTTTTTTATTGACATTCCCATCGTATTTTTTCTTGAATTGATGCAAATATAATTATATTTCTCACAAAAGTATACATACTATCGACAATATATATCGAATAATACATGTCTATGGCTGTTTTTCTGACATTGATCTGGATATACTCTTCTTCCGCTAGTATTCCAATCAATGAATAGGAGAAAAAAAGATATCTTATCAAGTTACATTTGTGACGGAAAGATCAACTCGACAGAAGAATTGATTTAAACGAGAAATAATTGATTTTGAAATTTATATCATGCCGATTGTACACTAAATTCTGATTACGAAATTCAAATTCATATATAAATTGAATATTGTCTACTCATGAAATCTTCAATTCAATGTTCGAATGACTTCTGTTGAAAATGTTTTCATTACCTGGAATATAATTCTCGCATTCTCAGAAACTAGACATGTTTCCCTTCAGCATCAATGTTAGAGTCGTATTTATTTTTAATTAAAAATTAGAAAGTTTTTTTTTCTATAAACGATAATGAAATGTAAGTGGACATAAGTGTAAGTGTTGAAGATGTGAGTATATCAATCGAAAAACAGCTCGAATTGAATGTCTAACACACACAAATCAATCTGTTACTCATAACTTTTGATTTTTTCAACAATCAATATTTGTCGAGATAATTCAAAATGAAATTGATGTGCTTATATATATATATGATAAATAATGAAGATAAATGTAGAGTTGTTTTCGGTGATGCATTTTGTGCCATTGATTTAAATATAAAGACACATCAACTCTTTGTATTAGAATCTGAAGCACAAAAATACAAAGAACAATTAGGTAAATTATAAAACTAATCTACTCTGTGTTGGATGGTGATAATTAATATTTTTTCATTATATTTAAGAGTGCAATAGATCAACAATAGATTTTAGATTTGAGGCACAGTTTTGTTTTTGGATCAAATCCACATACATAGTTTGCAATTCGATAATCGTTATCGAACCTCAAACTACTAATTATATTATTTTTGCTTAAGAGCAAATCTAAGTACAAATAGCAAGACTTTAGTCCAAAATTCTTAATTCTTTTTCTGGATGCACCGCACTTCTAGTAAAGTAGACCATTATTGATGACACCTTATCTTATTACATTTATACCGAATCCCAATACAACGTAGCAAGTTCAAATAATAGAATGTCAAACTCTAAGGCTTTGAATTTTTTGCATCCTCACTCCAAGTATGCATTGATTTGCTTGCTAGATATGTCATGTACATAATATTGATATAGTTTCAATGATGAGTAAATCTGCAAAATACTTTTTTTGATGATGTATGAATTCTGACTAGAAATGTTATCATGTTCAAACAATAGATACAATGAATAAACTTTATCTTCTCGTATGATGAAAAGTTCATCGCTTTTACATGTAACCGATTACAATTTTGAGTAGTAAGATATATTTTTTTACATACTAAATCCTTTCGAATTGACTTTATTTCATTTGATAACAGCCTGCGACGTGCAATCCGACAACATGTTATTAATTACAAATCAATGAAATCCTGACTGAATTCTAGTATGAAAGCAATTGAAAATTGGTCAGAATCCTTCTGAGATCTTGTTCTAAATCTTCCAAAAAATGTGGGTATTTTATTGCTACACTTTTCTCTCAAGATTCTAATAAAATTTCATTTTGAATTCTGTCAAGATCTCGAAATTTCTTGGCTACGCACTTTTGACAGGATTTTGTCGATTTTTCAGGAAAAAAAATGACGAGTCTGTTAGGGATCTTTGTCGGATCTAGCTTGAAAACATCAAAGATGGTTGATAGATGAAGGGTTGGGAAGGGTACTGTAAGGAAATGGCTGAATTGTATAAACACTTTAACGAAATCGTGAGAAATAAGTCTACAGCAAATGAGAAAATATAGAACCTAAGAATTTCGACAAATCACTTATAGATTCAGACTTCTCAATCTCTACAATGTTTAGTCAAATTTTATTTTAAAATTATCGCTTTTTTTAAACAATAGTCATTGATTGATCGAACTCAAATCTGAGATCACATAGATTTAAGATGCATTAACTCTTTTACTATCAGAAGTATTAGGGATATGACAATGCTACTCTTGACGAACGTTGATCGTAGACTTGAAATTTTTCGGAAATTCTTGAGGATAGATCTGATGTTCCTTTCGCATATAGTGAAATATAGAACTTTCATTTTTTCTCCTTTGTGTCTCAATTAATTGATATTTCGTATCATTCCTGCTAAAAATTCGTGTCTTATATAATTATATTTATTAAACTAATAAACTACAGATGATTAGAACACATAAAACACACGTTATTCACATATTTCGATTACATGTTATATAATTAAAAGAATGATTATAACAAAAAGCAACTTCTTTTAATTTTTTTTCTTTACTCATGATAATATCAACATGATCAAATGTTAATTGTGAATTTAAATCTAGAAAACTTTTTTGAATACTTTCACGTTTTGAAATTGTTGGATTATTTAAAATTTCATTTATATTATTAGGTAAACGTATTTTTGAATAGAGATTATTAATTTGTTCAAAATAATCTTCAGGTTTTTGCCAATAACATGTACCATGTTTTTCCCATTCAGATTGCATTAAAATTTCTGAAGGCATCATACAAAAATATTTTCGAATAATATCAATAGACATTGGTTTTTCATTTCGACAATTTCTTGGATGTAAAAAAAATGAATGTAAACTTTTATTTTTTTTCATTGTACTTGGCCATAAACCATGAACAATAAAACCAAATGTATGTTGACATTGAAATGATTTTTTAGCATGTTGTTGTTCATGACAATATGTTGGTGACCATGAAATACTTAAACGAAAATAATCTATTGAACTATTTGTATTGCGATATTCATGAGATTTTGTTGTATAATCAAAATCATAATCAGTTACGTATTGTTGTGGTCGAGGACATGAATCATTATCAATTACTTTACGTTCACTATGAGAAACTAAATAGATAATTGCACCTATAATAATAAGTAATATAAGACCGATGCTAACAGCAATTATCAAATAACGTATACGATTATTTGTCATCTTCTATGTTAATGATGAAAGTATTAAAGAAGATTGTTTATCATATAGATACTAAAAAGAAAAACAAGGACATATATGATTTATATCTCTGTCTATGATATTATCTAATCTTCTCATTCGTCGACTCGTACATACATCAAGCAATAAGAAGGATGGAAATACTTTTTTATAGGAATTATTTGAATACATACATATGGAAAGGATTATATGATTGATATCTTCATGTTTTATTTTTACTAGTTTTAGGTCACAATTCATTATGAACATGCAACAGTTTTAATTTTTGATGAAACTAATTAGAATTCACGTAAGATATTCCCTTCTATCCATACAGAATAGATGCACAATCTCAAATTTATAATGCTTCAGATGTAGTAGAAGTTCATCTGATTAGATAGAGCACAAAATATCGTTGAATAGATGAATTCATTGCGTCTCACTGCTTTGTTGTATCTAAATTCATTTGTTCTACATATCTTCTATTAACAAAGAAACGAGTTTCTTCCATGGATATCCATTATTGAAATATTCGTAAGATCTAAACTACTCATTCCATAACAATGAAAAATTCTCATTTAATAATACAAAGCTTACTTTATACTTCTTTTCACATAATTGAAATAAGTCTCTTTGAATTTCTGAACTGTACATGTGCTTATAATATGACGTTAGTTGTCCGAGTCGTATCGATACATTCATTCTTCATAAAAATTTTCTCTTAACTTCTTCAAAGCTCGATGTGTTTCTCAAATCAAAGTATCCCAACCAGAACAGTTTGACATATGTATATTAAGATCCACAAGGTGCTGATAACAAATGAACAAGTGAATACGTATTGTTGTTACTAATTTACCAGAATCATTCAATCTTTAATTTTTCGATTTGTAAAAACTGAAATCCTGCATAAATATACGCAATGATGCAACACTTCAAGAAAAAAACTACTACCGTCGTCATAATATTGTTAAATCATTATACGCATCACCTTGTTTATTTAAAAAAGTTGTTGCTGTCAACAAGAGAACAAGATTTCGTGATGTGATCTGATCTCTATAAACTCTAATGAAGTTTTATGAAAAATACACTTTTACATGAATGATACGAAGGAGAGATGATTGAAAAATTACCTTGAGATTTCTGAAGAAAATTTTACAACGACATTTTCTTCAAAATCAAATGCACACTCTCTAACATTTATTTTGAATTAAATTAAAATATCCTTACGTGATCAAAATATTGTGTTACATTTACAGTTCATTATTTGTTTATATTCAAATAATAGCTATTTCTTATGTATAGAATATCTACTTTCTTCTTGATAATAAAACAAAATAATTTAACTTAAAATTATATTTCAACCGCGTTATTTTTCTAAGAAATAAAACTTATATATTATATTATCTATAAGTTGAAATCAAGCGACATCTGATAAATATTTTATTTTTCCTTAAAAATAGATTACATTAATACATAGCAAAAAAATTGAAATTAATAAAGCAATTTTACGACCATCAATAAAACTTACAGATTTATTTCAAAAAAAAAAAAAAGAAGAATTGATTAAATCTTTTCTTTTTCAAATAATAATCATGTCATTCAAGTTATGCGTCTTGATATTACCATGAACTTGAACATAGTAGACAAAAGAGAAAAAGAAAATGGTTACATCGAGCTGCAATAGAACGGATCGAAAGAAACAGAACGTAAGCCTACTACAAGCATAAATAGAAAAGAAAAAGCATATTCATCGATGTTGCCCGCTATTGAAGAAAGAAAGAAAAAAAAGAAAATTCAAAATAGAAACAGAACATAGATATATATGCAAAGAAAAAGAACGAATGGAGAAAAGAAGAAGAAAAAAAAACACAATATAGAACACAACAATGATCAGACAAAGCATATACAATTGAGTCAGCAACAACAATAATAATGTCGGATAATGATGATGAACCACTTTTAAATATACCAATTGAAAATTCATTAAATAATCGTCGATGTCCAACATGTCAAGGAACTGGTTCAGTAACTCAATCACCCGGTCTTGTTGCCTTAATTCCATTTGATGATGTACGACTTAAACGACGACATACATTTTTATGGATTATACTAACAATTATATTTTGTACATTTATTGCTTCAGTTGTTATTGCCGTCCTTCTTCCACGTTCTGTACATTTATCAATACAAAATCCTATTGTGATTGATGCTACTAATGATACATATAGAAATTTAACATGTTTTTATTTGAAATTTTATCATTATACATCTATTAAATCAGATAATTGGGTACCTATACGTTTAATTAATTTAACAACATCTGTTGAACATCAACTTCTACCAATTGGATCTGATGCTGAAATATTTTCTCGACATAAAATGTTTTTACGACCATTAGGTACAATTCAATCAAATATAACTGTTAAACTTAATTTTGATGCAGATACAATGGCTTATCGTGCATGTTATGGTATATTTCGACAAATGCTTATGTTTAAATTACAAACAACATTAATTTATGCTGATTTTCTTCTTGGTCGAATTCAAATAACAAATAATATATCTTATCAATATGTATTGTGTAATAGAGGAGAATGGAAAATATTATAAAAATAAATTATTCATTTTTTTTAAATATAAACAAGAATAAAAGATTATTTATTATAAATTTATGAATATATCAGAATAATTTCTTTTAAAATATAGTACTATTAAACTAGATTTTATATTCAATTGAAAATAATAATAATTAGTTTTAATTTAATTGTTTAGAAGTTAAAGTAAGAGAATAGGAAAAATAACGGCATATTTTTACTTTTGTTTTCTATAATGTAAAGTACTTAGCTTAAATTCAGATCAGAATTTTATAAGTTAATGAAGTTTTCTATCTAATATATTCTATGCCAAGATTTTATGATGGCAAAGCTTGTAAAAAACTGAACATTCTATAGAACCCATTAGATTCAAAATCTTCAAACCTAGATACGATGGAGATCGTTTTAAAGAGCATAAAATTTATGAACTAAAGTAGAATTCATCGGATTTTCTACGATTTCTTCTTAAAAATTTAAAACGATAACAAAACCTAGAAAAAAAGTGTTTTTTTTTTATAGTTTTTGTAATACTTTTGATTTTTTAAGGAAAGGTCATAGAAAGTGTGACAACTCCCATTTTCTGCTCTTTACAATGATATTTCTCAAAACGAATAGGTTTGACAATTTTCTAGGATTCAAAAACTATTATGTCCGACTTTTTAGAAACCTTACTATCATAGGTTTTTGTAATATAGAAAAATTAAAAATAATTTCTTGTGAAATTTTGTTTCATCACTTTATATATTAATAAAGGCGGAAAGAATTATTTAAAGAACAAGCAACTTATATATTAAAGCAAAGAATAGTCAGATTACAAGATTGTCGTTATTCAATTGAAGAATGTGATTTATTAACATTTGTGTGTATACAAAAGAAAGAACTTATTGTTTGTTTCAAGTATTAAATACTAACTTATCACTTATCGATAGAAGATAAGTCTCAAGATTTTATTCGATTATACACACTTGAACAAGTTCTATCAATAGATATATATATTTTTTGTGAGTATGTGAACATGATAAAAGATGTACAGTGAATAAACTAACATAATTGGTTTTGTAGTAGTTTTAAAAAAGTGAAACGTAGAAATCAAATATCAAAAAGTTCCGAATGTATGTTGGAGATAGATTTTTCTTTTTATTCAATTTCTTCTTTTTTTTTTTAATATTTTAAATAGCAATTATGGATAGTTTTTCTTGATAGTTATCTGACAGACATGAAATTAAGTTTATAAATACGTTGGTTCAACTTTTATTTCTATCAATAGAGTGTTGTTCTATTAACATATGACTACCATTAAAATAATCATATCTATTGTAACGATGACATATTAGTCTTATCAAATATATCTTCTATGAATTTGAACTTATAATTCAAACATAGAGATTAATTATTATAAATATAATGTTTACTTTTAAATTAAAATCGAACTTTGTATCGAAGATATTTCATATGATCTAAAATATTTTAAATTCTTCAAAGAATTTTTTATCTATTTATGAAGACTAGACAAAAACAAAGTATCTTAGTTTTTCTAAATTTCACCAAAGTAATTATTTCAGTATAACAATGTTAAATAAATTTAATACGTTGGTAGAAATTTTAAATGTAAACATTTTTGAAATGATAAAATTTTAGAATGCGTCTATTAACAATGAAAATAATTATAAAAATTTGATTTATTCATTTATTTGACATTGTTTAAAATAAATTGTTTTAATTCTTCTGACAATTTTCCATAAAATTATAACAGTGAAAATTTGTGAATTACACTGATTAGTTTTTTAATACATAGCGGATTCTTTGATTATAAAAATAAAAACTGATATATTTTTCAAAACAATAATCATAAACACTTAATAAAAATAGTTATACGATGAATTCGTTGATTATTGATGATCGTCTTCGGAAATAATTGATGAAAAAGTTTTTCGATTTGATTTATTAAGTAAAGTATTTTTTTTTGTATGTCAAAGTAATAAAATAACTATGAGAAATCTTATGAGTGAATTTATCCAATTATCGAACGTTATTAAAATCCATGTATTGACTATGAATAAAACTCACTGAGATTATAAAAAGAAAACTATATTCGGACTTATGGTATGTCTACTCGAGAAATTTTGGATCTGAAAATTTTGGCATAGAGTTTTCATTTGATACACGAAATAGAGTCGTATTTATTCAAATATGTTCAATCAATGTTGTAATCATATTAATTCAAGTTTATGAGATAATATAATAGTGAAAGTGAACCTTTATTCTTTTACAAAGTGACAGCAAGAACAACATAAATTAATCAATAGACTTTTTCAATGTATCATCAAGTATACCTTCATAATGTAGTGTAACATCGGTCTCTATTGTATTTGATAAGCATGATATAAAATGTTGAATTCTTATGTAAAGATGTTCGAGTAGTTCTTGGTCATTTTTGAAATAATCAATGAAAAATGGTTAAGGCAGTTAGTACAATATCTACTATAGTCGATGCCGACGTAGTGGTTTAGCAAAGAGAAAAATATATTCGTTACTTATTTTTCGTTGTTAGAGTAAGACTTGATTGAACTATTTAGAATGCATATGACTCTGCATCGTGTATCAAATGTTTAGATCTCAATTTCTCGAAATAAAGCCAAAAAAATCGAGAAAAAACTAAAAAATATCCCATATTCTTGGTAAGTAGGTTTCTGTCTAGACATGTCATAAGTTTGCATTCGTTTAGAGTTTTCTTAGTCTCATTGAGTCCTACTCATACATCAAAAAGAAAACAAACTTCATATTTTTTCTTTTGTATTTAAAAATATACTTAATTGATTTTCGAATCGATTTTTGAGAATCTACAAATATCTATTGTCTTATTATAGTTTCAAGTACTTTTATTAATAAGTTCAAATTTGAAAAAAAAATTCGATAAGGACAAATAAACCTAGTGATTAAGTATTTAGTAATACCTTACATTTAACAGGTTACATCAAGTACGCACATATGTATGTGAGAAAAAAAAACGTAGAATATAAAAGAAAAAGAATTGCGCAGTCATGCGCAACTGTAGTAGTATTCATAGTCACTTGTAACACAATACAAATAACAACAGTGTTATGTTCACAAGATATTATAGTCGTCGTCGTTTAAAAAAATTACTGATTTCAGTTATTTTATTGATAATCGTCGTATTTTTTTTTCGTCTTCAAAATATTTCTTTATTCAATCAAGTTTTATATCAAACTTATTTTAAACATTTAAATATATCAAATCAAATATCTAATCATACCATATCACAATTGAATTCAATAACAGTAGTACAAGCCTCTTCATCTTCATTTACAACATTACAAAAAGCACAAAAAGGTGTTTTATCTTTAATCGAATTTGTTAATCCAGTCTTTTTAAACTTAGAATCTGTATCATCGAATATTATACCGATTATAGTATTATCGAATGCATCTAACATTGAACGACGTGATGCAATACGACGAACATGGGGATTTAAACAATCATATCGAAACAATACAATACCAATCAAAGTATTTTTTCTTGTTGGTATCGATGATTTTACAATGAAACGTATACATGCAGAACAGTTAATTTTTGATGATGTTATTCAAGTCTCTATGCCTGATATGTATTCATTTATTGCTTATAGAGAACTTTCTGCAATGCTATGGGTAAAATCATATTTACCAAATGTACCATTCTATATCAAAACTGAAGATAATGTTATAATTAATATGAAACTTATTATCAATAAATTTTTACCAACTATTGAACGTATTACGAAGGAAAATGTAGTTATTGGTTGGTTTGGTTTAGAACATTCAGTTTCAAGAGGTCGCTATCAAAAATTTATCGATGCTATGTTACCACCATTAAATGTTGATTTACATTATGCTATGAGTTTACTATATGTTATAACATCAAGAGCTTCTGATCGTATGCTTGATGCAATAAGTCATATTAATCTTATCGAACATCCAGGTGATCCATTTGTAACAGGTATTCTTCGAGATGCTGCTCATGTTCAAATGAAAAATTTAGCAACATTTTCTGAAGATTTTAAATATGTATTGAGTAATGGAGCATGTGGAAAAACACTTGAAAAAAATTCAAAACTATTATTTTGTACACCATTATCATCTATGTATACTATACACGATTATTTTGATGCATGGAATATAATTCTTAGTCAAAATTAAACAAATATTACCTGTGGCGTGAGAACAACTAGCAACAATTTATAGATTAGAAACTCTACAAAATAAATTTTTTCAAATTTTTAATTTAAAGAAATGTTAAGCTTAATAGTGATAGATATTTATGCATGATCAAATCGTTTCAACAAGTTTGATGAAGATTCTGTTCGAATAATTATTAATTAATAAATACAGTATTTTGGTTAACAACTGTTACTTTTATGTTTTATCAAGGAAAAAAGTTAGATAATGGATGGATAGATAGATTTATTATTCTTACCTTTCGGTATAGCATGAAGGTCAACATGTACAATAGACATCAGAAAAAAATATCGATAATAAAACAAAGAAAAAAAATTAGTTCTTTTAGTGGATTTTCTAGTTTGTTCATCGGCAAACAGTAATATTTATATCTATTATCTGAATGCAACTTTCAAATCACGAGAGCAAAGTTTCAACTGCATCTATAATTTTCCATAAGATATTGTTGACAACAAATACTTTGACATTACCTAGAGATTTTGTTCTGTATACAACAATATTTTGCCCCTGATTTGGGATGATATTGGATAGAAGTTGCTATAATATTAATAAATAACAGTTCGCCTTACATTTGTGATAGTATTTGTTTAATTGGTCTGAAAGAAAACACAAAACAATGGTTTGACCTTGTGCAAATTCTTTTCTTTTTTGTTTCATTAATATGAGTCTCTTTATGTAAAACAAATATAGAAATAATTCAAGATACAACGAAGATGATCAATCAGTGGCTTACCGTCACATAGATTATCGTCACTGTTACAGTCCTAGTACTCATCTTATTCTACCGTTGCTTCATGTATTTATCATATTTCTTTCACCGGTACACATTAGCCTATTTCTACCGAATATGTGAATATGACTTATTTTTTGTTAAATATGAATTTTCTTTTTTTTCATAGAAATATTAGGTTACGCTAACTGAATGTATGTTTTTAGATATAGAAGAATATTTTCTGAAATTTTACTCGATATTAGATTAGTTTCAATAAGTCGTGGTTAACTTTCTTGAAGACATTTTATATTTTCGAAAATGAATAATTATTTTTTCAAAACGAAAATTCTTCATATAAATTCATAGAGCAAAAGTCTTTGTTTTAGATTGTATATTCTTTATTGTCGAACCCTTTAAAAAAAAATAAGATGTTTGTTTTTTAAGGTACTGAAATTGTAATGCTGATTGTCAAACAATTACTCTGTATGAGCATTAATTGTTTTTGCCGTTTTAAATATTAACAAACAATAAATTCAAGCTATGCAAAAAAAAATCTATAAGTATTTCTATTGGTAAAAATATTTATTACATAAGTAATTGAAAAGAAAATTTTCTTCTCAATAAGAAATAATGAATCATATAAAATCAACGTCTAAACTAAAGTTGTTACTTAAACAATCTGAATTTCAATTTTTTAAGATAAATTTATTTTTTTTTTACATAGACAAAACTTACTTCAAGAGTTTACTGCAATACTACATTAGATTTAGAGAGAGAGATAGAGAGAACAAAATTCTAAATATAATCAACATTGAAAATAATTTCAATTAGACAAATAAATGAGTAAATATTTTGTTAAAAAAACTTTTACAACATTTATTATATCACAATTGATACGATAACCAATTGTAAGTCTCTTAATAATCAAAAAAACTTCACAATAACTGTGATACAGATAATAATAAACTGCCGATGTTGTATAAGATATTGTTAAAAAAAACAACTAAATAAATTATTATTTCTCTTTATGTTCTACGACCTATGTAATCATAGAAAAAGAATACAAAAGTGTTTCTCCAAAAAATGCTTCATTTAAGAATAAGATATTCAATTATGAATATGACTTGATAAGCAACCTCATAGTCTTCATTAAATATTTCTATATACATTCATAAAAAGATAGAAAAAAAAAAGACCAAGGAAACACATTCACGCATACAACAGTAAGAAAAATGACAATTATTAAACTTCAATAATTTCCTGTTCAGCAAGCCGAGCAATCTTCATTGTTGATGATTCATTTCCTGTAATGTTCATCGTAGGCATATGTGTAAATGTTTTCAAGGTTCGTGATACAGTATTTGGAGATGATAATGATAAATCTTGATGAGTTGAACTTAATGATGAATAATACGTAACAGCTATTAATTGATTATCGGTTGAAGAACTAACATTAGATGGACTTCCGGGTAAAAGAAAACGTTGTTGATCTATATTTGATGATGTTGTTTCATAACCACTATCATGTATATGAGGATATGATAATGTTGGAGAAATACCCGAATGACGATTATCATTCATACGATCATATGTATTATGATTTGATTTAAATGTAAATGTTTTATATTCATTTGATTTTTTTACTATTGATGAAGAATTTGGATTTAATTGACATAAAAGTTGCTAAAAAAAAAAGAAAATAAAATTCTTTTTTTCTGTTATATTAACGTATCTATATAAATTGGTATCTTATGTCTGTTGATTGAATGAAATTGGATACTAGTCAAGATGTCAAACATTTTACATCATCATGCACGTTAATTTCCTATGGCATCTGAATGGTTTAATAGATTCATGAAATATGCAGACGATGCATCACTTATTGCTATATACATCTTAAAGCATATTTATCTTTCTTAGAAAAAAAAAAAGAAAATCATTTGTTTCTATTAAATATTGTATATACATTCAATATATATATATATAGTTTTCATAAATACATGTAGATTTGATTATTCTATTGGGAAAAACGAGACGTTAGCCGTTTGGTGACATTAAATGGATAATCAAATTTATATTATAAATTCTTTTCTTCTCTATTTTTCATTCATATTTGACAGACTAAGAAGATAGTTTTTCTTTTCTCATTATTCTCGCTTCGTTATCATTTGACATATCTCTCTTTATTCATCAACAAAGATACTAGTTAAAATAAATTTTTAATTAAAAATTTGTTATCGTTATCATTCTATTATGAATAGTAACGATGACGTTAGTATTGAATTAATGCATCGTTGAACAATGAATAGAAAAGCTAAGGTAACATATGGAAATAGTATTAACGTGTATTTGTACGACTTTTTGTTTTCTTCTATACATGCATCATCTGTTCTTTTATATTCATATTGTTCGTTCGGTTTTTTTTTGTTCTTACCTGCTGTTGTTCATCATTATCAAGAGAATGATTGACATTTTCATCTTGAGTTGATTTACTATTTCCAGTCATATTCAATGATGATGTTAATGATATTTCACCTGGTCCATTATCAAGTAAAGGTAACTGAGTTTCAGTTGGACCTTGAAGACGATAAAGTGTATGTGAATCATTTTTATGTTTTCGTAATTTTCGTTGATGACATGAATTTGATGATATATAAATAACTTTAATTGAAATTAAACTAATTATTATTGCTATTGATAATAATATAATAACAAATATAACATTAAGTAATGTTAAATTAAAATATGTATGTGAACGTCGAGATATTAAATAAAGTGCTTCCAAATATTCACGTGCCGTATCAATAGCTACTGTTTGATTTGTTTGATTTGTACCTATTGTTAAAACTAATTGAACATATCGTATACATGATTGATCAATAGTTTCATTAATAAGATCACGAAGACGAAATTGTAATATATAATATTCACGTTCAGGTAATATATGCGCATATAATAAAAATTCATTACGTTGAATTAAATCAATTTTAAATATATCATTAAAATTAAGTAATTCAATTGAACATGTATCATTATCACCATCGAATAATTCTAAATAATATTGATTGAAATCATCATATGAATTATTAAACCATAGATCAATATTAAAAAATAAAGCTGTTGAATTATTAATTAATTCAGGACAATAATCATTACGATTTAAAATATGAATAGTTACAGGTACACTTGTATTAAGACCATCATTATCAATAGCTAGAATTAAAAATTGATAGATTGAACGACGTTCATAATCAATATCTATATAAAAAGAAAAAGAATCATTCTATTAAAAAAAAACAAACAAGTTATTAAATAAGTATTTATTTACCAGCAGATGTACCCTTTAGATATAATGTGCCATTTGTTGTCAAATCAAATGGCCATTCATTTGTCATTGTCGTATCATTATATACTAATTTATAAGTCAATTCACTATAGTATTCATCAGCATCGGTTGCATGAACATGACCGATTGGTGAATGGTTAGACCATGTTTCAGGTATTTCAAATATATATTCTGATAAATCAAATGTTGGATAATTGTCATTGATGTCAATTAAGTTGATTATACAACGAACTGTTGATGATAAAGGTTGAGGTTGGCCATGATCAGATGCAATAATATCAAACTCATAACTCGATTGTTCTTCTCGATCTAGTTTACCAATCAAACGTAATTCGCCTGTAGTTGAGTTTAATGAAAATATTGTTTCATTACTTAATTGATATTCAATTTGACTATTTAATGTATTTTCTTCATCGGCATCTGTAGCATGAAAATGAAGAAGAATTGTACCTATAGGAATTGCTTCTGTAATATTAATTAAATAAAATTCTTTATCAAATATTGGTGTATTATCATTTTCATCCAAAATTTTTAAAGTAAAATTCAATATACTTGTTAGTGGTTGAATACCATGATCATGTGCTTTAAGAGAAATTTCATATTGTGATTGTTCTTCACGATCAAATATACGTGCAGTAAACATGAGAAAAGCTTCATTATTAAATAATTCTTTAATAGAAATTGATCCATTACTCTCAAGTGACCAACTTACTAGACCATTGTTACCACTATCGAGATCACTAATTGAGATATGGCCCTATTGAAAAGAGAAAAAAAACCAATAACAATTAACTTTCGTTGTTTTTTTTTAATATAAATCGAAAAAACTTAGGGTTAAAAATAAATCATGCGAACACGCACATACAAATGTTTCTTTTGAGAATTACAAGAGAAAGAAAAGAT